TTTAGATTTAATACATGTATTAGCATTATTGGAGACCCAATTACCTTTTAAAAGTACTTTTACATCTTTTCCACCATAACTGTGAATTTGTAAATAAATATTTGTATACAATATATACTATTTATAATACACCAAACCAAACCATGTATAAGAAATAATTTATGCATAAGCAATAATTTATGCAAGCATAACGAATACAACATTTGCGAGCATTACTAATACACTATATTTAACATTATTTTTATACCCTCTACCAAACGACCCTACTAATACACAAAACTAATGCAAGCATTATTTTTACTAATACACTCTATCGAATGACCCTACTAATACACAAAGCTAATGCATGCATTATTTTTACTAAATACACTCTACCAAACGAGCCTAAGTAATAATGAAAAAACTAAAAATGGAACAAAACAATGCTAGACCTGCTAAAAGTTAATCCTACTACTCGAAATTAGGACAATGAAAAGTTACAAAAATCAAATGGTAGCAAACATTTTGATTTTGAAACAATAAAAAAAAATAGCAGCATCACATAAATTGAAATTGCAGAGAATTCTCACAATACAAAATTAGCTCGAGAAAAGCCAAAAAGATTCCAGAAAAAAGTACCTGAGAATTTGAAGGAAGTAGAAATGGCTGAAGCAGAAACACGGGGTGGAAGATAAGGTAGGGCAGAGCAGCAAAATGAGGCGGCTTTAGCGGTGGAGCAAAGTGATAAATGAGTAGTAAAAACGGCAGTAGAAGCCATGGAAGTAGAAGCTGCTGCAATCGACGCCATTATTGGATGGGATTTTGCTGTTGCTGTTGCTGTGTAAGGTCTTTTTGCGAGTCGCTCTCTTTTACAACGGAGAGAAAATTTCTTTAGGCTTTCTTATTCATCCATTCTCTATCTTCAAAAAAATCAAAAGTTGTATATGAGAAAATGACAATGTTGCTCCCTATATTTGAGACTAAGTTCAAAATAGTCCCTAAAGTATGCTTTCAATAGTTTTTGTCCTTTTAAGTTTATTAAAGTTTATTAATACTTGTAATCTTTGTTAAATATTTAAGGGAAAAGGCTCAAATATGTCATTGAACTTTCAGAATAGACTTATTTTTATCTTCAGTTAAAATTTTAGTTCGTTTATGTTATTATCGTTAAAGAAAAGGTTCATTCATGCCATTATTTTTTAACGGTGGTTTTGCTAAACCATTTTGACACGTGACCAATTATAATTCGGCCACATCATTAATTCTTTTCATTAAAAAAATAGTTTAATTTTTATTCAGAATTTTGATTTTTTAATTAAAAAATTTGATGACCTGGCTAATTATAATTCGGCCACGTCATCAATTTATTTAATAAAATAAATAAATAAAAAACTTGATTCAATTTTTTTCAGAATTATGATTTTTTTATTTAAAAAATTGATGACGTGTCAAAAATGGTTTTACAAAATCATTGTTAAAAAATAATGGCATAAATGAGTCTTTTCTTTAACAGTAATGGCATAAATGAGCCAAGTTTTTATCTGATAGCATAAATGAACCTTTTCTGAAAGTTCAATGACATATTTGAGACATAACGCGATTAATTAAAATGATATCTATTTCAGTATATGAGTTTGTGCGGTAAAATTATCTATATTCCTAAAAGGTTTGGATCCGTTATTTTTGTTGATTTTGTTTTGAAGTCTCATGGTCCAAAACTTCCTCATAATTAACAATCAAGATAAGTTCAGTATAACCATTTATGGAGGATTCAGAATTTCCCTCCGTGATTACAGAGTCCTACATGTAACAATAACAATTTGTATAAATGAATCATCATGGAACGAAATTTATACAAAACGTAGGGTTTATGTTTGATAAATATCTCTCTATTCCTCACTCGTATCACATCACAATCATAATTTTGAATACTCACTAGCTATTACTCAAAAGTTTCGTAAATCAAAGCTCTCGAACTCTCACTTCATACCATACGTATTTTTATCACTAGTTATTTCAATCAAGTTTTACTAGCAATTCAACATTAATAATTTTACGTTTGGTCACCTCACTTGTTACCATACATATATAAGAAGAAAAAAAATTGAATACACCTCACTTTTTTTTATTTTTTTTTTTAAAAAGGCTCCATTTTTTATGTATTTCTCTAGCTTAAGATGCAAGAATATTGTTAAGTGAAAGCTCATTTTCTTTTACCCTACATGAAAAAGTATTTGGAAAATTGGATTGAAATGGATTTCATATCGTTTTCCACTTTACTTCCAAAACAGAATTGTCGTTTTGACCAACTTAACTATGAAGCACAAAATTTGACTCACGCTTCTATTGTGGAATTTCTAGAATTATAACTACACCTAACTAAAAGTTTTATAAATCGTTAAAAAGGTTTTTAATCTGAAGTCTTAATGTACGTATTTATTTTAGGACATCTAGATTACATACGTTACAAGAATAAAGAGGTAGAATAATGGATAAAATGAAGAGTTTGGTGGTTTCATAAGTTACTAACAACTAGTGACCACTTTCTTCCATAATTAATCAAGAGTAAAGAGGCACGCACAAATATGTCCACCAATAAACATAACTTGATACATAATGTTACATACATATGATATATTTTCATTGATATTAAAATGTCACACTAACACCCACCATCTCCATCATTATAATTATATTATACGTACTTCCATCTATATCATCATCGCCGCCATTGCCTCCTTCACCCCCATTTACGAATCTGAAATTTCTAGAATATGGTGCATCACTAAAAAAACAAGAAGAAGAAAAGAAGTTAAACGAGAATTGATCTCCAACCAAATGCACTATTTAACCTTTTTATTATGTGTGCTAATTACTCCATAATTTAAAAAACATATACATAAAATATCTACTTTTATTAAGAGATAGCAGATTCAAGTGTCCCGTTTTAGTATATAAGTTTGTCACGGACTATCACTGTCAATACCATCACTATGACCATATCCTACTTCTAACCATCTCGATCTATCATCACAACTAGCACCGCGGCTCATTGCTATCACCAACATATCATTAACCACCAAACATTATTCGGCCACCACCAATTACTAACATCAAACAATTTCACCATTACAACTATCACCGCTACCATCACTACAACACATCTCCACTATCACTTCTGATTTTTTAAATATAAAATAATAATTTATTTTATATTTAAATATTTTTCTAATATCTAATTATTTTTTTATTTGAATTATAAATTTATTATATTTACAAATATATACCGTATGCATATGCAAAATGTTGAAAAAAATAATTTTAATTATTTATGATTCAAATTCAAAAATAACACCTTAATTATTCAGATATGTGCTCAAATTAAGACATTTTAACCTTAATGAAAACAAACGAGACTTTTAAGTCTCTTTGGCTCTAAGCCCTTGTTATTCATAATCTACTATATACTATTGAGATTTTTATTGTGAATTGTTAAGACAAGTGGGGGTGTTCACGGTTATTGATGCAAATCAAAATCGAACCAATTTAATTGATTTTCATATCATCAAAATCAAACCAAACAAAATATAATATAGATTACTCTTTTAGTTGTAATCAGTTACGATTTGGTTTAGTTTGGTCATTAATTATACATAAAAAAATCGATTCATTCAAAAGAAGGAAACAAGACCACTATTCATTCAAAACGAAAAGTCATTTTAATGACTAATACATAACTTTTGATCAATGAATTTACTGTGAATAATCATTTTGACTTAGAAGGAAGCGATAATGTCATTCGTAATCCCACCAAGAATTGCTATAGACACCCGTATATATCAAACCAATAAGACAAATGTTTTCGTGTTGGACGTTTTTACTTTCATAAATAAAATTATAAATACATTTTGATGAAAATATAGAGTATAAGATATTTAAAATTAGGGATAATTTCAGAGACCTCCATCCAGGTTTTGCTTTATAACACTCCCCTTCCATGTGGTTTATGATATTACGTCTACCTCCCCTATTTTCATTTTCTTGTAACCATTCTTTAAACCTATTTAAATTAAATATAAATTCATATTTACCCTTCTATATATTAATTTCTTCATCTTAACAAATATTATATATATAAAAAAATTCATTTAACAAATACTTTAAAAAGTAAATAATCGCGAATACATATATACCTCTTTCATCTTCATTTCACCTTTACCAATTCACTAATGATTTTTTCCACAAAAATCCATCATTTTTCGGCAACAATTTCTTCAAAAATAGAAGATAAAAATAAACTCCCGAAAAGTGAAATTCAATATGAACGATCAAATATTGTTCTAGTTAAACATTTTCACAAGCGAAGAAGAAAAATGATCCAAGAAATAGAGATAAATAGTTGAAAATTAGATCTAAGCTTGCATGAATGGTCAATAATGGAGGAAACTGTTAGTTTCTCGAAGCAATTGTATTTGTAATTTTGAAACAGATTTTGTGCTGATTTATTTGTAAAGTATTTGTTAAATGAGTTATTTTATATTTATATAATATTTATTAATATGAAGAAATTAATATATAGAAGGATAAAATTGTTAAATCTAAATTATTTTGTATTTATTTAAAATATATTTAAATAATAGTTAAAAAAATAAAAATAAGGAAGGTAGACGTAATATCGTAAACCATACTGGAGCGAAACCTAAAGGTAGGTCTCTGAAATTATTTCTTAAAAATTAGTTATAATTATAATATATTGTGCATAAATAATAATAAAATATATGTTAATAATTTATCAATTCGGTGTTGTTATTTTCAATCTTTTTTTATTCTTAAAAACCTAATATCAAATTCAAATAAAATCAATTTAATTCGATTTTCAATATAAATTGATTTTTATTCAAACCGTGAATCATGCGAAGAAACCATGATCCTAATAGTATATTATTATTTTTCTTAAAAAAGAAAATTTACACAACAAACTCCTTTACATGTCATCACATAAATCTTGGAGAAAAAAATTGGAAAGAAACAAAATTGAACAACACACACATGACACACCTGCCAGTGCCACTTCTCTCCACCTCAAGCAGCCTCTCTAAATTTAAAACTCAAAGTGTCACAATCCCCAAATATGCCTTTCTACCAAATCTTTGTATCAACAACTTATGCTTCCTCTATCTCCAACACATAATATAAGAACTATTAATTTTTTCTGCAAACCCCAGGTTTTATTTTTCTATTCTTGTTCAGTTCTTGAAAATCTTTGTTACTGTTAATTAATGCAACAATAACATCTTTTTCTTGTTTGTATTACATTCCCATTTTGATGCATTGCATAAAGTTCAGATTTTTCCTCTTCCTTTTTGTATTTGCCATATTTTCTTGCTTTCTTGAACTGGGATGATTCTTGAAGGTTGTAAAAATGCAATCTTTATGAAATTTCTGGAATATTTACCCTATCTTGATAGTTTTCTCAAATGGGGTTCCTCAAAATTTGAGGTGTTATGGAGTAATAAGGAAGACACTGCTTACCTTTCCCCAATCTTGTTTTGTTTTCAATTTTTGGAACTCAAGATTTGAGCTTATGTAAGTTTTGAGCTTAATTTATACTTAGTATATTAGAAATTTGTTTGTAGTGCAGTTAAAGTTTTCTTGTATATTTGTTGGTTTGTTTGTTCATTTACTTACAAGATTTTAGCTGGTTTTTTCTTAGGTAAACGTCACATTTTCTTGCCGTGAATTTAGGCTGGGACAATAGTGTACTTTTGAGTATTTTTGCCAAATGTCATATTATGTTGGTTTATGTTGTTATTACAAATTAGAAGTCTGATTTTTTGAGTCAAGTGTACATTGAATTTTGAGGGGTAGTGGTAAGGTACATTTTATAAATTTTGGATTACGTTTGAGGTTCACTAGATTACAAAATATTCCAGAGAGGATTGTGTTTAAGGTAGTAGATACAAACCGAATAAAGGCTTTTGTCCCATCCATTTTACTGGCATTGATGGTTTTTCGCGTTCAAATAGCATAAATAAGGGGTTTCGAGGCTATTCTGAGGGTTTTGAGAGCCAAGAAAGACCTAGTGCTTTAGAAAATGGGGCAGTATGCACCTGTCTGGGATCATAAAGCATCGGTCGAAGTGACAAAAAATTTGAATGGGATGAATCAGGTCACGCTTCGCAACCCTCAGGGTGCCTCTGTTCTGGTTAGAATCTCTAAACCGATCTGTTCATTTAATTAAAAGTAATGATTTTATGATTCTAAATCATCTGTTAGATCTCCGATCGATTAGGAAGAACTTCATTGATGCTATTACTTAACTCGTGTTGTAACGATTTCCTTGAATGGCTGTTTACCCTTTGCCAATTCAGATTAGCTTGCACGGAGGACAGGTTACTTCTTGGCGGAATGAGCGAGGTGAAGAGCTCCTATTCACCAGCAAGAAGGTATACGTTTCCATGTTTGTATTAGTTAATTCTTACATCGGCTAATTCGACAAATGATACGAGTGTTTGATCTAGCGATTAGATCTTTTTGTTATATAGTCGATATCACCTAAATTTAATATCTGAATTTGGATTAAAGTTTTCTAAAATTATATCAGAAGATTTGGCGAAAGTTTGGAGATATGAAATGCTACTTGAAGTGAATTTCAGTGTTTTCGTTCTCGTAGATTAGAGGTAAAGCGATGGCGTACAGTCACCAATGTACATTGATGTAGAGATTCCAGATGTCGAGGTGAAATCCTTGTATATGGGTTGGTCATTCCGGTGCATATAGAACGGAGAAAGCCTCCCCCCCCCCCGCCAGCCCTCTTTTGTTTTGTAATTGTTCTTTTTTATATATGTATATATAAATTTATATCATTTGATCGTTAGAGAATGAGGGTTGTTCATGTGAACCTTTGCCCAAACTTGTCATATCTTCTTTTTTCTGGTCATAATACTCTTGTGATCAACTCAATAGCAAGAAAACGAAAAAGATGTCATCATGTTTAACATGAAATAGCTTTCTCTTCTTTTTGCACTCCACTCACCCACACTCTGCTACTCTACCCACCCACCTTCCATCCCAGGTCTTCTGTTCTTTTCAATCCCTTTCGTGTCCCGCATTTTATAAGGGAAGAATGAATGGTAATACAATGTTTTAGTTCTACACAAACTAGAAGTGTGCCTCATTGTCTAGCTTATGAACCTTACAAACCTTAACTTGGAGTTTCTTCACATAGTTTATTGCTTGGAGATTTGGTTCAGGAAGTTGCTGCATGTAAGTGCGAACATTGTTCTAGAAATTGGGATTGCTTGAAGATGATAATTTCCTTTACTTTTGCACTCCTAAAAGCTCATGGTGAAGGCATTTTATCTGTCCATAAAATGTAAACATATTTATATTGCTCTGTAGTACTTCATTGGTGCCTTGATTGCTATGATAGGTTCAAGATTACATCTGTTAGTATTTTCCTCCCCATAATGAAGTGAGTTGAGAACCATAAAGTCTTAGGTTCAATCCCCATAAAGGTGATTTCTTCCTATCTGTCCTTGCCTTGGTGGACCAAGTTATCTGGCGCTGGTGGGAGGTAGCAGATATCCCATTGAATTTAGTTGAGGTGCGCGTAAGCTGGCCAGGACACCATATATATGTGTGTGTGCGTGTGTGTGTATATATATAGAGAGAGAGGGGGTGGGGGGAGAGAGAGACTGGCTAGTGGTAGACATGGCGGGCTAATACCACAAAGTTTGGTTGTTGATGGTGGCTATAGTGGGTATTCAAAGACAAGAATAGTAGTGTCGGGCTAGTTATATACTCCTCTGTCCTGTTGTCATCAATGTACTTCCTATTTTAGCCGGTCTTAGAAAGTTACTTATGGGAAAATGGTAAATTCTTTTCCCGTCCAACAATTTAAGTAAAACTATAAACTTTTACTATTTTACAATATTTTAACTTTAATATGACTTCTCACATTACATGAGACACTTCTACAACCAAGTTCATCTCATTATCTTTGTCCAAGTAAAATAGGGTCCATTAGCTTAGTGTTTTATTATGAGTTCATTGCATATAATCTTGCATCATCTGTTTCACTTGTAAAACAAGTATTTTATATAGACAGTGTGGAAATCTGATTCAATAATCTATCCATTGAGAATTGATTTGACAATGTTCAATTGTAACATGAGCATGACTAAATTGGTCCTAGTTACTCTATTATTTTGATAACTCATTTCTTCAGACGGAACAAATGTTGGGGACCTTTCCATTACTTGATTTATCTGATCTCCATTCCTCTATTATTAATATTCAGTTACTTTTTCTCCTTCCTCCCTTATTTTAAAAGGGGAATCATGTGCTAAAGTTTGTGGAGATTCAAAGTTTTGTTCAAGGTATAATATTGAGAATGCGCATTGACAAACATTAGCCTTTATATGTCAGATCTCCAAATCTTCGAAATCTGTACGAGGAGGAATCTCTATTTCCTTTCCCCAGGTACTTTTAGCAGTGCATATCATTGGTAAATTCCTGTCCAGTACTGTAAAATAGATCGCATGATTATCTTACTTATGCTGCAGAATGGAAATGGTGGATCAGTTGAGCAACCTGGATTTGCAAGAAACAAAATTTGGACCATTGAAGACGACCCGCCATCTCTAATATCATTTGATACCCAAGGAAAATCTTACATTGACTTGCTGCTCAAACCGTCAGAAGATGAACTGAAGTTCTGTCCTCATGTGTATGACTCTCACTCTGTAGCAAATTCTAATTGGTTTTGTTAGAAGTTTGGATCACTGAATTATGAGTACTGAAAATGTTTTCAAAGAAAGTTATGTGAGTGAAAGTCTATGGCTAAAAGGAAAGTGGAATTTTCACTGGTTTTCATGTTCGAAATTTTATTCCTTGTTGTACATTTCAACTCAGAGCCTTTCAGTTCATGGTTATTCTTGCTTACAGTTGTAACTTTCGAAGTTTCCAGTAAATATCTTTCTTCTAATGTTTCAGCTTTGAGTTTCGCCTTCGGGTTTCTCTTGCATCAAATGGAAGCTTGTCCCTGATATCCCGTGTAAGAAACGTCACTGGCAAGCCGTTGAAATTCTCCTTTGCTTACCAAACATACTTTTCTGTTTCTAACATAAGGTATGTTGTTCCCTATGTGGTTTCTTATTGTTTCTATATCCATGAATTTTCTTTCTTCCTGCTGTCAGCAATTTTGATTGAAATCTAGTTTTCCTGGACAAGCTTGAAAGCTTTTCAAATTTAAGAGAAGAGAGAAGAAGAACCAGTTTCTTTGTACATGATTGTTCATTTAAATGTTTGAGCATTACTTTTGAGATTGATGATTTTAGGTTATTTTAGAACTTAACATGAATCTTATTCACAGCGAAGTGCGTCTAGAAGGTTTGGAAACACTGGACTATCGTGACAACTTGTGCCCAGAAGAACTCTTTACAGAACAAGGAGATGCCATAACATTTGAGACTGAGGTAAATTTATTTATGCAGCCTAAATATCTCAAAAGATGTGATTATAGATGTGTTCAATTAGTTAAAATCTCAAATTTGGATTTTAATAATGACTCGATATAGATATTTGCTATTTCCCTTGGTGTTTAACAATGTGGACTCTATCACTGAGCTACAAGAAAAATAGAGACAAGCAAGGAAGCATCCTTCAATTGATGTTAAATAAGAAGGTTACTTTTGAAGTTTTGACCGAGAGAATAAGTTCTCTTTTTCTTTCCATGACCATAGGCAAGTCCAATTAATTTGGAATTGAGAACTACCCTTTTTGATTTCTCGAATTGCTGTTTCAAAGATAAATTGTCTAAGCATCGTCTTTAGCACTGCTGGTCATGTTGTGTTAGTACATCGATTTTTCAACTTTTTAGAGCATATATATGTGGTTTCTTTGAACTGCATGTTGAAGTTGTATAGTGTAAAGTGATCAGCTTACCATGTCTTTCATAGCTGAAGCCTTTTGGTCTACTTTAGTGAATTGGTTGAGTGTTAATCCGTCTGTTTATTCTGTTTGCACTTAGAAAATCATCTGTTTTTCTTTCAGATCGACCGTGTCTACCATTGTTCTCCTAATTGCATTGCTATTCTTGATCATGAAAAGAAGCGAACATATCTGATAAAAAAGGAAGGGCTACCAGATACTGGTAAGTTGCTTCAGTTCAAGTCATTCTTCAAAACTGTTTTCAATAGGAAGGAGCGGAGGTGGAGGAACGTTTCTTTTCTGAAAATTTGACTCTTATGCCTCATAATTCTTCTCTTATAAACCTGGAAATGTTTGTTTTATCTGAAACGAAGTATTGTTTAATTATCGAAATCTCTGCAAGGAATAAAGTGTAAATGTCACTTGACATCAGTCTTTCCCCGTTGTTTTTAGTGTTAGAGAAACTTTTATTTTACACTGTATCATGATCCTGCTAGTTTGCTTCGTGAAAGCATGATAGTAGACTTTCTACGAGTCGTGGACGAACTAGAAGGCCATACTTGAGATTTAAACTTTACTGAACCATTTTTTGAGCCACCTTTATGTCAAGGGAATTCAATATTATATGTACAAAATAAATTAGTTTTACTTGTCTATGACTGAACCTAGTTTTAACTGTTGCGTCGTCTTGTCTTCTTCAGTGCTATGGAATCCCTGGATTAAGAAATGCAAAGCAATGGCGGATCTTGGCAACGATGAGTACAAGCACATGCTTTGTGTTGATGGTGCAGCAATAGAAAAACCCATCGCTTTGAAGCCGGGAAATGAATGGACAGCTCGCGTGGAGTATGTGGTGGTACCATCAACCCTTTCCACCGACGATCTTTCATCTTATTAAGGTCTGGCCTAAAGCATTTAGAAATGGTTCTATAGCTTAGTGAGAGAACGTAAATCCATTTAAACTAGTTTCCGTTTTTGCTAGACTGTTATCGTTCGACAGCCAAAGCTTGTCAATGGCTGTATTTGAAAGAGGGGAAGTTTTAAAACTAAAATTGTTCCATTTCAGCACAATAATTATGTTTGTGCAATTGAAATGAGAAAGTGAAGGATTGCTATACTTTCCGTGTTTGGCTATAGTATATCTTGAAATGTTATATGAAAAACTTTTTGTTGAGCTGAGGGTCTATCCGAAACGTCCTCTCTACCCCCACAAAGGTAGGGATACACGTGTAACCCGCTCTCATAAAAACCCTGCTTGTGGAATTATACCAGGTATGTCGTTGTCTTAGTATATCTATGAAAAACATGTTAAAAAGTTATTCCGAATAAGTATATGGTTGATATATACTTGATCGATCCTCAAGTGGGGTCAATTGGTCTTGTTGTCCTTTACATATAGATATATTTTGTACACTATTAGTCATATTTATACAAGGATAATACATATGTATTATGTTTTATCCTTAGGTATAATGTTTTATAGTGTTGTATCTCGACTTATGTGGTGTAACATTTTATGTTGAGCGGTATATTTTTGAAAATTTCCTTTCGTTTTGGAAAATTACGCTCTACGTCTTTTGGGAGGGAAAAGAAAATACTTATGTCATGTAGTTCATATTTTGAGTTTGTTATTCGGTTAGCGTATATTTGTGTATAAACACCTTTTATACATTATTATTCACTTTTATACAAAATTGATACACGTGTATAATTTTATCTAGGTATAATGTTGTATAATAATATATATAGGATTACGAAGTGTGAATTTTGTGTTCGGATGAGTTTGACTCTGATAGCATAATAAATTAGGTCTTAGATCTAACTCATATCCAAAAGATAAGCTCAAAAGGAGGAGGATTTTTCTAACTTTAAGGACTTCACCAATATCATTAACTAATAATGTGGAATTTTTGTCATTCTTTTACAGACGACTTCACGTCCAGTGCTTAACATTTAATGCGTAATTAAGTTTAATTTCGAGGGTCCAACAAGGGGTTGAGATGTTTCGTGCTCTGATACAATACTAAGTTAAGTCTTAGGCCTAAGTCACATTTCACAAGCTCAAATGGAGAACAACTGTCCAATCCTATAGACTATAAAGAGTTCAGTCATCTCATTAATCACATATTTGTCATTCTTTAACAATTTCTTTTATGAAGACGAGGCTTTATCTGTTGGACCAAACATCAGTTATTGCATAATATGTGGACTAAATTACAAATGTCATAACTTATATCAAATTGGTTACTTTAGGAATTCTAATCTCCTTAGTAGTAAGCAGAATAACGACAGTTTCCAAATGGCCACAACAACTTAAAAGGGTGTGTTTGGTACGGAGAAAAAAATATTTTTCAAAAAATATTTTCGATCTGTTGGATATACTCACTCCATTTTTTATTTGTTACATTTTACTTTACGAAACTTAAATTTGTTCGAAAATTATATAAAGTACTATAAGTTGTAATCTCTCTCCTAAAAAAAAGTACTCCCTCAGCTTAAAAAAGAATGACATAGTTTGATTTAGAATGGAATTTAAGAAAAAAAAGAAGACTTTTTGATTTTGTGGTTCTAAACTAAAGTTATGTCAAATGTATCAAAATGTCCTTTAATCTTGTGGTCTTAAACATACCACGTGGAAAGTTAAAGTCAAAGTGTTGCCAAAAAAAAGAAATGAGTTATTATTTTTGAGACATATTAAAAAGAAAATAATGTCATTTTTTTTAACGGGAGAGTATAACCTAAAAATCTGATTATCGAAAAATGAAATATGACAATTAAAAAAAACGAACGGAGTATCATGCAAGTTTAAGGAATCAAAAATTGGCTAATAAAGGTGTCTTGTATCTTACGTACATCCCCCTCCTTAATTTGCCTTTTATTTAATTTTTTTTTTAAAAAACAATTTATTCTGACTTGTCTAAAAGTTTTTTTTTTTTTTTTGAGAACTCTTGTAACATACAATATATACAAATATAGAAACTTTTAAATAAACATATTAAAATTATTAAAATAAGAAAATCCGACACTTCAATTAGTCCGCACAAAAAAAATAAATATGATTTTTGATAAGCAATATGCATCGATAAGAAAACATAGAAAATAACTCTCGATATCAATTATTTGAAACCAAACACAATTCACTTATCAATTAATGAAAAATTCACCTCTTCGATTATTGATCAAATAAAAACGCTTTGCTTTAAAATTATTTAATAAAACAAACTCATCAAGATAATATTGATACGAAAATTGCTAATTGTCTATCAGACAAGTACATGTAATGCATATTTTTATTAAAGGGAAAATAATACACCACACATGTCACAAGAAATAAATTCATTAATAGGTCCGATCATAATTTTCATTAACAAAATTTAAAATATGAAAAAAATAAATAAACGAAGAAGCCAAGAGGATATAACACATATTGGCTACTATATATAGAGAGAGATCAAAACTTATAGTTTAATTCTTTTCTCTTCGGGACATCAGACGAAAAATACCTAAGCTACACTTATTATGATGATATAAAGCCGGAGACACTAAAAAATATAAATAATTACATAAAATTTCAGCTTTATATATATACACAATTTAGTTTTTCGATTTCGATTAAAGAGGATAGGATGAACCTCCTTCTGATACCTTATGTCTCATCTAAAATAAAATTTAGATACTAAAAATGATTTTCATTTAAAATCATAATATTATGAGATTTGTCAGAACCAGATAGAAAAATTAATTTATTTGATAACAAACAAAAACATGAAGGAGAGACAGTTATTCTTTTATCCCAATTGTGGAAAAGTTTTATAAATCTGGTGTTAAATATCACTATTTTTTGATAATCTTTTTGCAATTTTGGCCAGACATTATCATAATTATTTTTACATTGTGAGAATTTTGTGATTTTAGAATTGCAAACATTAGAATAAATTATTCTTATTATATTATATTATACACTTTATAGAATGGACAAGGCAACTTGCAACCTAAAAGTGAGAGGGTATGAATTTATTTGGAAAATATTTTTTGAGGCTCAAATGTAGACATGTCAACCATCTTTGTTTTAAATAAAATATTAAAAAAGAGAAGAGTAGTCATTTTTGCTTGTGCTATTTGAGTTTTAGGTACCAAGAATTATTCATTGCTATATTCATCTTAAAATTTTAAGTTCGTTTCGTTAGAAATAAGTTAATTTGAAATAAATTGTTCTATTATATATATATATATATATATGAGATAATTTATCTTATTATTAAAGCACAAATAATGAGACAAATAATTTCAGAATTAAATAATACCTTCAATCAAATGGAGAAGAAAATATTCTGAAATTATTATATCTTATATCTCACATCATATGACTCTTTAGTGGTATTTTAAGTTTGTGCCTCTTCACATGATAATGTCGCTAAACTAAAAATAATTTTTACATGTAATTAATTACATGTTCTACTTTGATTGTTGTTAATATATTCTTTTAGAGGTAATTATTAATAACAATTATATTTTAACACATTTTATAATAGTTGTCATTAAAATCTACTACGATATTGAATCTAACTATAATTAACTAATGTCAATCAAATTTTTAACACTCTTTATTAATATATATATTTATTAATGCTAAAAACCGTATATATTATATTTCTAGTATAAGGCATTATAAGGATGATGCATTATCTCATGTCTTTCATTAGGGATAATGCCCAAGTACCCCCTCAACCTATGCCCGAAATCTCAGAGACACACTTATACTATACAAGATAGTGCCACGTAGGCTAAAAAGG